CAAGACCGTTTTATCCCGAATCGAATTGCTTCACTCATGGTAAGATCGGCAGGTAATAATAACAATAATGATAATAATAGCATTATTACCCAACAGATAACCATTTACAGGGAAATTAAGAGAAATCCTATGCCTAACTACAAAAAATGAGCTATAAATGTATAACAGTTTCATCCACTAGCTCCATCAATGTGCAAGTGAAAATAGTATTTACCAGTAAGGGTATATCCTGTTATAATGGTTACACATTACATGATCAGGCGACTTAACCAAGGTATTGTTCTTTCTATTACACTTCGTCGTACTTGTCCTATTACTGAATCTATAAATTAAAATTCGTTTGGCCTAGTTCGGGAGAGCAACTTATGCTATTGTGTAATATTTTGTACAGAAAGGAATAATATAACTATATTTCGCCTCAGCTGCAAAGTATTTTGATCAAGCCTGCTACATAAGATTTCATAGGCAATGCCCCTTTCAGGACAAGTTCTTCTCTATTTTAAAATACAAAATCTCAATGCTTTACGTTAAACCCTTCCTATTTCAATGATGTAGCAATCATATGGTGGATCCCGTAAAAGACAACTATAGTCTACCTCCGCACGAACCATCGAAATGTTGCAAAGTCCCAGACTCCTTTTGCTCAACATGTTTTACAAGCGTTAACTTATAATCAAAAATTATTCCTAAATCTTTGAATCTCCGCATTACTGGCCACATAGGTGAAATTAATAGTAATGTTTCTTCTACTATATGAGACGAATTTACATTTTTGGGCATTGAGGTTAAGTTAATTCTCATTACACCAGTTTTCAATAACAACCAAGCTATTTTGAAGTAAGTGACAATCTTCAACCTCACTAATTCTTGCAAAAATTTTGAAATCGTCCGCAAAACATAAAATCTTGCAATTAACTGCTAACAAATCATCAATGTACAGAATGGATAGTAACGGACCCAAATTGGAACCTTGAAAACCACCATACGTAATTAGAATGGTATGAAACAAATTGAAATCTGACAGGTATGATTTGAAAAGATCTAGTTTATAAGAAAAACCATAACTAGAAAACTTTGACAATAGGTTTTTGTGGGAAATTTTTTCAAAAGTTTTGAGAAATCAGTGTAAATAATATTTACCTGTCCTTGTTCGTCCAAGACTTCTAAAATAAATTGTACAATAATAAATAGACTGGTGACTGTATACCTCTTATCTATTACGCCGTGTTGGTTGATTGAAATGTGATTCCTAACATCCTATCCTATTGTAAATGGTAATCTCGAAAGCTTTTGAAAAGTTGCAAAGAATGCATACATCCCTATAGTATTCTACAGGGTGTTTCAGTTTATTGTTGTATAACTTTAAGATTCGATAGAACTTTTAAAATTAATGCATAAAGTCAATATAAACATGGGTCAAAAAATGCGTGGCTTCCGAAATACAGGGTGTTTAAATTTACTTTTTAAAATAGTTTTTTTAAATATTTCGAACAATATTTGATGTATAACAGTGAAAATTGGTATGCAAGGGTTTTTTTGGTACGACAAAACGAACCATGGGCATAGTTTTACTGTAGCCGCTAGAGGGCGCCCTCTACTGTACCTGTAGTGTATTAAAATGACCGAAATTTTTTTCTTAGTGCAATTTTTTGATTTTTGAATAAAAAAACTGATTCTTCGCACTTTTCAACATAAAAAGCTCTCTTGTGAATTTTCGTTATAGTTAGCCGTTTTTGAGATATTTCGATTTTTAGGGTTCGATGCATTTTTAATTATTTATGATAAAATAACGTTAAAAGGTCAGTATCTCGATAATTTTTAGAAGTAGGCTGTGCCTGCAAATATTTTTGAAATTGAAAGCAGAATAAGGTTAAACGTCAATTAGTTGACAGTTGGTTTTGTTGTCTGTTGAAACCTGAAACGTTTTTTTGCAATTGTGAATGCACTAAATTTAGTTTCTTTTACCTGTTTTTTTTTGTAAGTTTTATAAAAATGCCATTTTTATTCTCCAATCAAGAGTTAGCGGATATTCATTTTGTGTATGGCTTTGTAAATGGAAACGCAGCAGAAGCAGCCAGAGAATACGCACGAAGATTTCCAAACAGACGACATCCAACTCGCTCAGTATTTGTAAGAGTGCATCGTCAAACAATTGAAAATGGTTTTGGAAATCTCCAAATTGATCAAAACATAAATGTTCGTCAGTGCAGATTTACCCGTATGATTCTGCGTGAGTTTGATAGAGATCCGACCACAAGTGTTAGGAGAGTTTCTGGTGCCTTGGGAATTTCAGCATGCCATGCTCACTGTATTCATAGAAATGACCATAGACGTCCTTACCATTTGCAACCTGTGCAAGGACTACAGCCAGGGGACGAAGAACGAAGAATCACATTTTGTCAGTGGATTCTTGATAGAACTGATAATAATAGGGAGTTTTTAAGTAACGTTTTAGAGACCGATGAGTCATGCTTCACTAGACGTGGAGTGGTAAATTTTCATAACCAACATATTTGGTCGCATGAAAATCCGCATGCAGTTCGGGAAATAAATTTTCAGCATGAATTTAGTGTGAACGTGTGGATTGGTATCTACCGTAATCGACTATTTGGACCCTACCTTTTGCCTGCAAGGTTAAATGCTGCGACCTTCTTGGAATTTTTAAAGGCTGAACATGCAAATATGTGGGATGATGTTATGTTAGATTTAAGAAGATTGGCCTGGCTCCAGCTTGATGGTTGTCCAGCTCATTATTCGAGAATAGTTAGAAACTGGCTGGACGAAAATTATCCAGAAAGATGGATCGGCCGTGGAGGACCAGTCGCCTGGCCTCCACGATCCCCTGACCTAAATCCATTAGATTTCTTTATGTGGGGATTTCTAAAAGAAAAAGTGTACCAGACTCCCGTAACCACAAGAGATATGCTAATAGACAGAATCAGGAATGCATGTGATGAAATAAGGCCTTATTTGAATAATGCTATACCACGTTCGATCATTCGTAGATGTGAATTGTGTATTGAACAATTTCGAGCAACTACTTTAGTTTTTGTATGTTTGTCCTAACTATCCAATAGCATTTTAGGTGTAAATAATTAATTTAATTTGTTAAAAATAATATTGCAAAATTAAACAAATTAATATTCTGTTTTTTTGTTTTTATTTGGAGTTAGGAATTATTGTTGTGTTTAAAAACACAATCTAAACGATCATCTTAATTACTTGTAATGCCCAAATCGAAAATGTAAAAAAAATATTATTTTCCCATAAATAATTAAAAATGCATCGAACCTTAAAAATCGAAATATCTCAAAAACGGCTAACTATAACTAAAACTCACATGAGAGCTTTTTTATGTTGAAAAGTGCGAAGAATCAGTTTTTTTATTCAAAAAGCAAAAAATTGTACTAAGAAAAATTTTTAGGTCATTTTAATACACTACAGGTACAGTAGAGAGCGCCCTCTAGCGACTACAGTAAAACTATGCCCATGGTTCGTTTTGTCGTACCAAAAAACCCTTGTATGCCAATATTCACTGTTATACATCAAATATTGTTCGAAATATTTAAAAAAAACTATTTTAGAAAGTAAATTTAAACACCCTGTATTTCGGAAGCCACGCATTTTTCGACCCATGTTTATATAGACTTTATGCATTAATTTTAAAAGTTCTATCGAATCTTAAAGTTATGCAGCAATAGACTTAAACATCCTGTATACTGATGCATCCAGATGTTCTGCAGAGATGGCATAATATCGTCTGGAATAACACTATTTTGACCTCAAAGCCCATTTTTGGACATCCTCACCTTCGGCGCCAGCTGGCCGGTCAATCCACCTAGAAATTAATTTTGACGAGTCTCATTCGGCGGCTGTGGTGCCACCCGCAATTATCCAATTATTCGAATTGATCGCAGGCGGCCTAGCGTCGGCCACCGGGATAAATATACACGTTGCTGGGCTGTCAGGGCGGCAATCGAAAATCGGAAGCGGCTGCCCACCGCTACCGAACGCATAGCCACTCTCGAATTGCCCCTAATTCTGAATTATATTATAATCGCTCATAGGTTTATTTGACTTTTACTCCGCAATTCCATAAATGCCACGAAGCGGTAGCTTGCAAAGGCAATTCTGGTGACTATTTTAGAAAGGTGTAAGAATCATTGAAGCTTCCGTTAATTTTGTAAATTCTCATAATAAACACAAGCAGCGGCAACAATGCGGTGAGCGATCTGTTCGAGAACGATCTCGATTACTTTGAACGGAATAAATACGCAGAGCGCGGCGACATTGAGCTCAAAACAGAAAAGCACAAAGTCCAGCGGTTGGGTTAAAGTTGGCCTGCAATTAAAAACATTATGAGCAATAGTAAGAAGACGAAGACATACAATTTCCATTCGGAATGGAAAGAACAAGATTTCTTCACAGAAGCTAAAGGAAAAGACTTGTTATGTTTGTTATGTAATACATCTATTTCCGTTACTAAAAAAGAGAATATCGAGAGGCACTATAAGGCTGAACATTCGAATTCCCGCTACGTTCTGCAACCAGAACGGAAGAACTAAAACAATTAATAAATCAGTTAATTGGACAGTAGACAATGTTTTTAAAAAAAAAATCGACAAAAGTAATGCTGCAACTGAAGCATCATGCCGGGTGTCCCAGATAGTTGCACAAAAGAAGAAACTTCATTGCGACGGGGAAATGATAAACCAGGCGTTTTTAGAAGATACAGATTCATTATTTGTCAACTTAGAAATAAATACGAGATAGTGTCTGATATAAAAACTATGCAACTTTCTGCTAATACAGTGATCAGATGAGTAGAAGTAATGAGCATTGAAACATTTTTGCAGTTAAGAAATGACTTCGATAACTGTGCTTATTTTTCACTGCAGCTGGATGAATCCACAGATGTCGTTGACAACTCTCAAATGGCCGTGATTTTATGATTAAAGAAGGTCTTTCGAAGTTTATTCCACTAAAAGAACAGACTACTGGCAGGACTCGTTTTCTTCTTTCAAAAATATTATTTCTTCTGAGAAAATTCCAATATCGAAAATGGCAGGCTTGACAACCGATGGCGCTCAAGTTATGGTGGATCATGATAAGGGTCTCGTGGGGTTATGTCGTAAAGATGAAAGTTTTCCGCAATTTCTCTCTTACCCCTACATTAGCCATCCGCAGTCATTATTTAGACATTTTCTAAAACTAAACAATGGAGGAAATTGGTTGTAAAAATTGTGAACAAGATTAGAGCTCAAACGTTACAAAGAAGGTTATTCAAAACCTTGGCCGATGAAAATCACTGCCAATACGGAAAAATACTTCTTCACTCTGAAGTCCGATGGTTAAGTAGGGGACGACTGCTTGAACGTTTTAATGATATCATATCTGCTATAGTTCAATTTTTCAAACAACGTGATTAACCGATTCCGGAACTGGAAAACTCAATCTGTCTTAGAGATTTTGGTTTTCTTGGGGATATTACAGAAAAGTTAAATGAACTAAATTTGCAGCTTCAGCGAGAGACAGAGAACTAGCAGAAATGATTTCTGATATAAAAGCGTTTATAAAAAAGCTCGACCTTTGGGAACAAATCTTAATCGAAGGCGTTGCGCAAGCATTTTCCTGTTCTTTCAGAAAAAAAAATGTTAAAGTCTGTTAGAACCATATGCCAGTAAATATCATGTACAAATAGTATTTAATTGTCAGTGAGTGTGACTGTCAGGCTTCTCATTGAACACGCTTTTTTTATCTGAATATGTTTTTGTTTAAAATAGTGCGTTGTTTTTTTTATTTTTAGTTACCTTTATTAAATCGTATGTGACATGCCATTTGACGAAAAATTTAGTTTATTAACACCTACGGCTGATAGGAGTGGATGTACGAGTAGTTATATAACATTAGTTATTAGTTTATTCAACCTTATTAGTATCTATGAGTATTAGTAAAATGAATACATGTATGTCGCATAGAACTGTGTATAATTTGATTTAAGTTGGCTTACATCGTTCACGACTAGGCAGCTCACTGTTTGTTCCAAAATTATCAAAGTAGCTCAACACACTAAAAAGGTTGGCGACCACTCGTTTAAGGCAATTACAAATTAATTTTATCCATTATAAAAACAGAAAATCGTTTAAATTCATAAAAAACACAATGCATACACATATAAATGAGAATTACATCAAGCATGACTATATACATTGTAACGCAGACATCATATCAAAATTATAACACATAGTACATTAAACACGAATATATATTAATGTAAAACTGAAAAGCTCCAGTAGTGCTGTTTCATCAAAATTCGTCGAAAATTACTTAGAGTGATCTGGAATCTAGGTAACAGAAACGTTTCCATAGTAGATTTTAAAATCATCAAAATTATCTATTCATATTGAGTTCACCTTGCTTTCAGGAAGCTCCAACGGCGTACCGCAAACAGTCGCAGGAAGTTTGTTATAATATCCATCTCCAAGGCTTTTGGCTACATTAATTCTATTTCTTGGAAGTACCATTTTGCTTTTCCCTCATGCATTGTAGCCGTAAATATTGAATAAAGTGCAGTAATAATCACACAAGTTTTTCCCCGCATTTGCATATTTGCAAATACTGTCATTATTTTACGATTTCGGAAAATTTCCCGGCAGTGTTCATCATGCTTAGTTCTAATAATACTACGAACCGCTAAATTTTGTATCAAAAAAAATTTCTGTAAGTGAGAATATGAGGCATTCCCCCAACTAAGCGCTCCATAGTTCAATAGAGAATTAAACATACCATTGTATGATGTTAGGACAGAGTCCGTATCGCTAAATAATATATGCAATTCTGCGTATTGCATTAATATGTATAATTACTACCCTAGCCAGCATAGTACGAATGTGGTTAATAGGGAGTGTCCCAGTAATATGTGTGTCAAACTGTAAGCTGAATGTACCTACCTACTATAGTTTTTTGATTATTTAAATATAACATTTGATGAAAGCAAATTTTAAATGACCGAACATTTCCAACAATATTTTTTTTATTCATTTTATTTTTACTTGTCTACACGAATCGTGTGATTTTCTCCGGAAAATTATGTCCCCATTTCACCTGCATAGAGTTCCGGACTGAGTTGTACTACGTTGGTTGGTTGTGAGGCCCAAATATTTATATTAATTGACTTACAAGAAGGTATGACTTCCCTTGACAGTTGCTACTCTCTTTATCGAGCATGCCTCTATGTATTTCAGTTAACCAACATCGGTATAATGCTAAGAAGAGATGGCTTCAGTAACACATCAGAGGTAATGCAAATGGAGTAACATTTGATAAAAACTTTGAGCATTATGCGTTTCAAAAAATGAAAATACTATTTAAGTGCAAAATTGTCAATTATAACATTAAGTGTTGATTTTTACCTCTCTGTACTTTGGGGGATTCTTACAAATGGTTCTAATAACAAGTGAACACCAAAAAATTAAACGATTCTTGGTAAATGTTTCCTGCTCAATCTTACCACTCTTGCGTTGGAGCTTACAAGTCCCTCGGTACAGACTAGGAGCGAAAGTTTGTCTGTATTCTGTCCCAGCTTTGAGTTCTGGTGCTATTTACTCATGGGCTTCTGGTGCTATAAAAACTGAGGAGATACTACCCAATCTATTCTATATTCCATCTTCCACAAGGCTCAATAATTTCTCCGAAAGTATTTACAAATATGTATTATGATTTCAGTACATTTTGAATATTTTCAATAAATACTGTATACCTTCTCGGATGAAAAATTGTATGTCAGTTAGGACATTCATGCAGTTTTTAAGGATAAGTTTGGTAGAGTGAAATAAGCTATATTAGAGAAAATATTTATTCATGAAATTTAATCATGAAACAATACATTCATTTTTCCGAATGCTATGAAGACGATATGCCACCTGAACACTCAAGTCACCCCATTCTCCGCTTGAAATATGCCCTCGAAGTATTTACTTTAAAGATTACTGTCGGTAGCATGAATAATGCAGGAGTGAACAATAAGATTTTTATCGGATACCATGAGATTCACCTTTAGGCTGAAGCCTACAGCTATTGATACAGTATTGGCATAAAGGGGAAGAGTATGTTGTGTGTTTGCTAGCAAGTTTGGAAAAAGGTTTTTCTGGCAGATGTAGGTTGTACGGTTTCAACGAGGTTGACCTCATTTTATACAACGTCTGAAGAGTGCTATAGTCTGTCAAAGATCTGTTATGTAGAGTGATGGTTTTCACACATTAGAATAGATGCAGCGCACAAGAGTACCGAAAAAAAAACCATATCAACTAGTACAGAACTCCAGACTGGGTACAGTAAACTTCGAGGAGCAAGATACAATAAGGCTGCAGTGCCCGTGGGACTTTGGTCGGAAGGCTACTGTAAAGAAAAAAGAAACATCGATCAATTTGCTATCTCAGACTTCTGTACATACCACATCTGTTGAGTAAATGAGTCGATACTCTTTGATTTTCACGATTTCATGCTACCTACCCATTTTTCGTAGAACTTTTCAATTATGGTGAATGTGCGCCTTTCTACGATATATAGGGTGGCGCATCGAAAACGAAACAGACGCATTTACTGGCAGCTCAGTTTTTTTTTAAAAACGCTCAGACCCGTCGATTTTGTTTTCGAGGGGGACACAAGTTTGGAAAAAAATCACGTTAGCACGTGCAGTCCCCTAAGCGGGGGTGACACCACCTCTAAAATCTTAAATGGAAAGGGGGGGGGGGTCGAGTGATACCTTATTTTAAAGGTCTTTCAATACCCTTTATAATGATATAAAATTAATGTACTTCCGCCATAGACGCCATAGATCCTGCATTAACAGCCATAATTGAAAATCAGAATGATCGGCGGTACATTGCGAATAGGTTGATGTTCCAACAGGATGGTGCCCCACCACATTACGCATTACGTGTTCGACAATATTTAGATCAGACGTTTCCACATCGATGGATTGGTAAAAGAGGTGCCATTGAATCTTTATGTGGGGTCATTTAAAAAGCAAAATCTATGCTACTCAGCCAACATCATTAGAAGACCTGCGACAAAGAATTGTGAATAAGTGCCTGCAAATTACTCCTCAAATATTGCAAAATGTGCGGCAACGTTTTGACCAAAATCTTTATTATTGGATGGAGAGTCATGATGGCCATTTTCAACATTTACTTGCCTAACGGGTCAGTTCATTCTTCATTTTTAAATTATTTTGCTGCCAAATGTATTGATCTCCACTAATGATGATGTATTTGTTTTATTTAAGCTTTAAATCAATAAATCTTCAAAACTACTGAACTGAAGCTCATGTATTTTACATCATTATAAAGGAAATTGAAAGACCTTTAAAATAAGGTATCACTCGACCCCCTTTCCACTTAAGATTTTATGGTTGGTGTCACCCCCGCCCAGGGAGCTGTACGTGTTAACGTGATTTTTTGCCAAACTTGTGTCCTCCTCGAAAACAAAATCGACAGGTCTGAGCGTTTTTCAAAAAAAAAAACTGAGCTGCCAGTAAATACGTCTGTTTCGTTTTCGATGCGCCACCCTGTATATAGTATATAACGGGATGTAGATAATGACTTGATAGTTAATGTAACAGTATATTGTACAAGTCTAAGCGTATTTACTAAGTGATTTTCTCCCGGTCTTTATTGTATTAAAATGTAATTATAACTTATATTCTTATGCTTAAAAATGTCTGAAGTACCTCAGCGAAAAATATCTTCCCTGTAGCAAAACATTAAAATGAATTTAAAAATGTACTTTTGAAAGAGTGTTTCTGGTACTAGTCTTGTTTGCCAACTCATGACAGGACTCTGAAATCATCATCCGCTTGGGGCGAATGGCCACTGTCCCTATCATCGATTTTCATCTGACTCTTTCACCAAATCTGTTAAAGTAAACAAAGCTACAAAAAAGTGACACAGCACAATAAGCAGCAGGCAAACTCGTTGTGCAGGGTGATTTATTTTTTTGATTATGAGCTCGGTGTGAATAAAAGCATAATGTTTCTGTAATACGCTTCACGTAATATCCTCTCCCTATAGGTTCGATGATTTATGGATGTTGCAGATTTTGTAGACAAAACAGGCGTATGTGTTTTCGCTGGCAGCTCATCACGAATACCCGTATGAAAATACACGTATCGGAGTTTATGATTTTCTTCAATACAATATCGTTATAGGAAGTGTATTTGAAGCTAAATTCATCAATATATCCAATAACAAAAATAGAACACCTAGTAAAGAAATGATATCAAGTAGATTTACTCTATACTTCCCACGAAACAGTTTCTAATACAATTTTCCATGTAGCCAATAGTTCTGAATATGAACTTATACACTATACATACTGCGCTATAGTTGTAGTCACCGTTCTTGGCGGTTACGTCATTAACGCCATATGAAATAGGTAAACAGATCGAGTCTCCGTACCATGGGCGGATCTTTATCTCAGCGTCAGTGCTACTCTCTCCAGTACGCATAAAGTGGATCACAGGGGACCGCTGTTTCCATTCTCTTCCTGGAAATACTCTAATAAATTTAGCACGAGCTGTTTGCCTTCTCCACTGATCGTATTTCCGGGCATTGTACAATTTTATACTGAAGATTGATAGCAAATTCCACGCCAATGTCAAGTAAGTATGATTGAAGGGCACTCATACGTGACGACAAACTTTTTGAGACGGAGACACACAACTAAAAAAAGTATGTCTTTGAGCTTGCATGTATACGTATGAGGGAGATGGAGATATATAAAGGGATACTGGTCGACTTACTTTGACCCACCAAGAACGGTGACTACAACTATACATAATATTATCCCAAGTAACCTCATGAAATTACACTCCAAGGACAATGCTCGTAAATATATAGATATTGCGCCTACCTTCCAAAGATGCAATATTCACCTGGGCGCAGGATAAGTGTGACCGATACGTACGCTATCTGTAGGCTGACAATACTAACATAAAAATTGCGACGCAACCTCCCCTACCAACTACAACGCCCCACTCACTAAGTTGTTACCCTTAAAATGTGGTCCAAAAATGATCAGTATGATCCGAAATCCCAAAAACGAGGTTTGAGTAATTTTTAATTTTTTTTCGTTGGACAGGTATTCAAAAACTGTAATGCCTTTTCGTCTTTGGCATAGTGGTGACCTAGAGTAGTAAGCAGTACTTTCCAAGACTTAGAGAAGCTCTACTTATCAACGAAAATTGTATCACAAACTAATATATGAACATTTTTTCACTTTTCGGCATATTCACCATAAATATAACAGTTGGCAAGTCGTTACTCCAGTTTTTGGATCTCGTAGTCAAATAACGCTGCTGACTGACCGTTGAAACATTTAGTAATTGTCTTTTTCAACAAGTCATCATTTTCCAAGTGCTTCCCATCAAGGAGCTCCCCAGGTTTAACTGATTTCCGGGAAACTACAGCACATTTAGTTTTTTTGCTGTTGTGGCCAATTAAACGCCATTTCGGCTCACTTTATGATTCGTTCTGATCCAAAGGGAGCAATGTTGGCATTGCTCTTGAAATCGTATATTTGTGATGTTTTGTTTGCGTACCCTATGTACCCCGTGGACTGTTGACACCAGAAGCTGCCTTCGATGTAGAAGGCTACTCTTTTTTCTTAATGGTACCAATTCTAAAGGAAACCTTAACTTTGTCTGCTGCCTGTTTAAATACTTGAGTCTACTTACATCACTATTCAAATAGGCTGCTAACAATGTGGTCAAAATGCCTGAAATATATATTTCGAGAAAATACTAATTTATGTTAGTATTACTGATAAGGAGACGAAGCATGTCAACTACAAGGTCTGTCGCAAAGTAAACAGGACGAAGAAAAAAATGAACAAACATTTTTTGTTTCGGAAAATCGAATTTATTTTACTCAAAATAGTCTCATTCAGAGTGAATACAGCGATTTTCACGGACCAAAAGGTTTTCGAATGATGATATTAGCTCGTCGAGCATAAATAATGAAGTCGGAGTGGCAGCACCCCAAACATGTGAGCTAGCAAGCTCGAGGCTAGGCCTTATCTGGACCTTGCGGAGAAAAGTGCTTCTTAGCCCT